CACTCCTTTTTCAGCTAACTATGTTTCTACTTCTTGGCTGCTTGACTCAAGAGCTTCCCATTATATGACCTCCAATGAGTCAATTCTAATTGACTGTAAGTCTTTTTCTGATACTATCCATACTAATGATGGAGCCACTTATGAAAGTGTAAAAAACTAGGCTTTATATCTCTTATCTCTTATCCTTCTAGTAAATTAAGTGTTTCTAATGTTTATTATGTTCTTTCCCTTGCCATGAATTCATTGTCTGTCGGTCATATTACCTGTTCCAATTGTAATGTTGTTTTTTTCCATCTTCTTGCTACATACAGGATCGACAGTCAGGGCAATTGATTGGGACTGGGTGTAAAGTTGGCAATTTATACTACCTGGACTATCTGCATATGCTAACCTCTTATGTCTGTATTGTTTCTTCTGTTAATGACATGTTACTATGGTGTTAATGTCTTGGTCACATCTCTAGTTCTCTCTTACAGTCCTTATTTTCCTCAATATACTTGGTCTTGTCATAAATAAAATTTTTGTTGATGTCCAACATTGTGCAACTTGCAAATTTGCTAAATCTCATGCTTTACTTTTTTCTCGAAGTACTTATGTTTCACCTTTTATATTTGATCTCGTTAATACTGATGTGTGGGGTCCTGCACCTATTCATTCTAAATGAGGGTTATGCTATTTTGCAACCTTTATCGATGATCATACTCGTTATACATGAGTTTTCTTTATGCATAATCGAACTGAATTTTTTAAAATCTTCACTCAGTTTTATTCTTATGTAGAAACTCAATTTTCCACTAAAATCAAAGCTCTGCACTCCGATTCTATAGGGGAATATATCAGTGGGCTGCTTCAACAATTTTTGGTTAACCATAACATTCAACACCAGAAAACCTATCCTTATACACTAGATCAAAATGAAGTTGCCGAACGTAAAAATCGTCATATATTGGAAACTACAAGATCTCTTCTTTGTTCTACATCTGTCGCAAGGACTTTTGGGTAGAAGCTGTTCGTACATCAATTTTTCTCATCAACATCATGTCATCTTTCATTTTATATGGCGAAACACTTTTTTGAAAATTGTTTAAATGATCACCCGGTTATTCCCTCATCCGTGTATTTGGTTGCACTTGCTTTGTATTGTTACCGCCAACCGCAAGAGATAAGTTATTTCCAAATATGGTCAACTGTTCTGTTACCCTGATCATCAAAAGGATATAGATGTTATGATCTTGTGACTAAAAGACCTTGGGTATCCCGACATGTGTTGTTTTCTGAGCACAATTCATTATTTGAAAATAACACAAATACTATGTCACCCTCTCACATTTATTTTTTAGTTCCCTTCTCTGATTATGTTTCTCATTCCTCTAGTCATTCTACCAATGCTCATATTTCTGAAGTCTGAAGGAACTTCACCAACTCATGCTGACAGTCCTGATTAGAACCCTGCACCTGTTGATCCTCTGCAGCTCCCTGCTCTTAGACGAAGCACTCGGGTCTCTGTTTCACCTCTCTGACTTGCAGATTATGACACCTTCTTACCTCAACACCAAGCATTCATTGTCTCTGTTCATTCTCTTTATGAAACTCAGATTTACCAAGAAGCTGCATGTCAACCTGAAAGACAACAAATAATGACGGATGAGTTAAATGATCTCGAACGTATGCATGCTTGGGACCTTGATACTCTCCTAAAAGGAAAAACTGTTGTCGTTTGTCGATGGGTATATAAAATTAAAACTAATGCTGATGACAGTTTAGAACGATACAAAGCCCGCCTTGTAGCAAAATGTTACAATCAGCAATATGGCATCGATTTTACAGAAACCTTTGCTCATGTCGCTTATATGACTACAATTCGTACACCAATCTCAGTAGCATCTATTCAGCAATGACCTCTCTATCAATTAGAAGTCAAAAATGTTTTTCTCAATGGTAATCTTGATACGGAAGTATATATAAAGTTACCTCTTGGTGTTGTGGATTTTAAACACCACGTGTGTAAACTTTGACGGACTTTATATGGACTCAAACAAACACCTCATGCTTGGTTTGAGAAGTTTCGTAATAAACTTATTTCGGTCGGATTTCGACAAAGTCATCATGACCCAGTACTCTTTGTTTCTGAAACTTATGCGGGACGAGTTCTCTTGTTGCTATACGTGAATGATATGATTATCTCAGGTAATGGTATATGCACAATTAATAAAATCAAACAGAAGCTTAGTAGCACATTCGAAATGAAATATTTGGGTTTCTTGCGGTATTTCCTTGGACTCGAAGTTGCCTATTCTCCTCGTGGCTATCTGTTGTCACAACTGAAATATGCTTCAGAGATTGTTTCTCAAGCTTGACTCCATAATGATTCAAAGAAAGTTGATGCCCCTCTTGAGGTCAATGCCAAAATTTGGGCTACTGATGGGGAAGCTCTTCCTGACCTGAACTTTTAAAAGCAACTGGTTGGGAAACTGATATATCTAACAATTTCACATACCGATATTGCTTATGCAGTACATGTGGTTAGTCAGTTTTTGAGTGCCACGTGTTCTGTCCATCTCGCTGCCGTTTTGGCATCATTCGTTTTATTAGGGATTCTCATCACCAAGCCTTATTCTTCTCCTCTTCTATGTCACTTGAGTTTCGAGCTTACACAGATTTTGATTTTGTAGGAAATCCGAGTGATCGAAAATCTACTATAGGATTCTGCAATTTTCTCAGTGATTCTCTTATCTATTGGAAAAGTAAGAAACATAAACAAATTGCTCAATCAACTACGGAAGCTGAATACCGAGCTATGGCAAAAACTACCATCGATATTGTTTAGCTATGATGGCTGCTCGAAGACATGGGTGTCACTATCTCAATTCCTATTCCACTTTATTGTGGCAAACAAGAGTGCCATCTATATCTTTAAAAATCCAGAGTTTCGTGAGCGCATGAAACCTATTGAAGTCGATTGCCACTATGTTCGACAATAATATATGGCAGGCACAATTTCTTTACCATATGTACCCACTGCAGCTCAACTTGCCGGCTTCTTTACTAGTCTCATCCCCCACATCCTTTCTCACAACTTGTTTTCAAACTCTCAATGATTCCTTTCAAATCATCTTGAGTTTGAGGGGGAGTGTTAGTGTATTCATATGTATCATGTATATTAATACACATCATTATGGATATGTATGGGTATAGGTGTCTAGTTAGTAATTATCAGTAACAGTGGGTATCTATCCAGAACTATTATTGGTATCTATCCATAACTGTTATCAGCCATATATTTATACAGGTATTGTACATTCCTAATCTATTCATTGAATAGAGAGAAATATCTTCTCTCACCCTTTAAAGCCAAACGATATTTTACTCTTGCGGGAGTAAAATATCGATTTACTCTGTTGGGTAAAGCTCCATCCATATTTAAGCTTAGGACCTCAAATTTTTGGAGATCTAACATTTTTAACGTATAAATTAACCACAATTAAAAAATGTCATAATGTTGTGAGATTGAATAGAGACCATCTAAGTTTTAGATGGAGAGATCTAAGGGTTGGAAAACACAAATTTAAATTTATCTTTCTATCTAGTAATTCCTAAGTCGTTATCTAACAATTCTTAAATGGTTTCCAAAACTTCATATTGAAAAATCTAAGTAGGTCTTCCAATCGAAGAAAAAGAATAAACTACACTACTGAGGGAGCATAGTATACATGAGTAAAATGACTGATTCAAAATCCGACCATTCTTGAATAAAATAAAATATTCCCTAGACTTATATGTTAGTATAGTCTAACCTTATATAAAATTTTAAAATATAAAGTATATAGGACTACGTTTAAATAGGATGACATACTACGAAAATATTTACTATGGGCATAAAAAGGTCACAATCACTCTTAAGTCTTAATCATTAAATATCAAATTAGGTGGCTTGGAGTATATCACAAAGTTCTATAAATTTCTTTTGAATTTTGAGGGTAGTCAATGACACATTTGTAACCACCGGATTTAAAATAATGACCTCCTTGTATAAAAATATAAGGAAAAAATTTATATAGAGCCTAGGGTATAAACAATTGAATTAGAGCCTATATCAAAATTTTCACTAGAAGAGGTTGTTTTGATGGCCAAATATCCGCAAATTGACCATATTAACATCAAGATACATGGATTTGAGACAAAAATGGATTTCAAGTTTTGGAAATAGTTAATCTTGTTATGTATTTTTGGAGCGTCAATTTTTAAGTTATTCAAGTTTTCATAGATATGCTCAATCTACACTATTTTTGAAGCTTTAAATTTTATAATTAAAGATAAAAACATATATTAAAGCTAGTAAAAAATTTCCAGTATTGCAACCACATTCGGGCTCTAATTTGATTGTTCAGGGCCTCAGCCATAATTTGATTTTTTATTGTATACTTTTCCTTTTTAAATTTTAAAAATAAAAAAAAGTCAAGTTACTTGCCCTAATCTTCCATGGTTAAAATAAAAAAGTTTCATACTTGGGTGCAGGACCTCCCTCTCCAACGCTTGGTAAAGTTGACTGCTCACTGCTCTCCGTCCCTCTCCTTTTCATCGGGATCTTCTTGCTATGTGTCGCAATGATTGCACCATTCTTAATTTTTACGATGCCCCAATCGAAACGATCCACTTATGTTGTGACTTGTGAGTGAGAGAAAATGGAGAAGTTAAGTGGAGCAATGGGCAGGTTCAATAGATCTCTTTTGGGGCCTGATGTTGCAGAGGAAGAGGACGGATACTCCCTATTTTCAGCCCAATCTTACGATAATGGTCAGTGCGCTCTGTCACCAATGCAGGTAAAAATGCCCAATTCAGTCTAGTTTCGTCAAAATTGAACTCAATTATTCCATTTTTTTAGCTATTTTATCTCTCCCTCTTCACTTATGAGTTTATGGTCTAGGACTCATGGATAATTTGGTCCGTTACTGATTCATTTCTCTGAATTTTTTTGACAGAGACTGTATGGGTTTGCTGGCTGTCTTCTTGGTGGTTTGCTTTGTATGATTTTGGTACGAACATCTCTTTCTCTCTCTAAAAAATAAGTCTTGAGGGTTACATGAAATGACAGTCTATAGGAAGTGCCTCTTTCTCTCTCTTGTAAACTCGAAATTGCTAAATGAATTTTATCATTGCTATCATCTAGGGATTTTTGGTCTCTCTCTCACATTACTAATTGGTTAAACAACTTCCATTGATCCCCACCTGCTGTCATGGAGAATTTTCATTGCCATAACTATTCAAAATCACCTTGTCACCTGGGGATACCTTAATTTGCCCAAATCCTTTTGGTCGAATACATGGTCGAGGTAATTCTTAAGATGAGTAATAACTTGGGCATCATCCTCAGTGACAATGATATCATCGACATAAACAACAACCCCAACATTTCCATTTTCCCCTTTTTTTACAAACATAGATGAATCTGCATTACATCTTTTAAAATTATATTTTTCCAAGGAAGAGCTTAACTTTGCGTATCAGGCACTAGGGGATTGCTTTAAGCCATAAATAGCCTTTTTTAACTTTCACACAAGATTGGAATTTTCATGAGGATGTCCTTGAGGAATTTTCATATAAACTTCCTCCTCAAGGTCACCTTGCAGGATTTGCATTTTTAACATCAAGTTGATATAGAGGCCAATCATAATTAGCGGCAATTAATAATAAAACCCTGATGGTAATCATTTTAAAAATAGGAGCAAATGTCTCCTTATAATAAGCTTCACCGTAGGTCTGGGTGAACCCTTTGGCAACAAGTCATGCCTTGTATCTCTCTATAGTTTCATTGCTGTTGTATTTTATTTTATAAATCCATTTATTCCCAACCACCTTTTCCCCTTTGTGTAATTCAATATTTCCCAAGTTTTATTTTTGTTGAGGGCACAAATTTCTTCTTCCATAGACTCTTTTCAGACGGGATAGGAAGAAGTCTCTTGGAAGCTGGCAGGTTCTTGAATGGCAGATGTACAACAAAGATGCGAACTATATTCTTGAGAGACATTGGAATAGTTAACATACTTTTGAATTGGGTAATTGGTGGAAGCATTAAAAATGTGAAAATCACGATACTTACTTAGGAGTTGAACGTTTCTTCGAGGACAACTGGGTTCCACTTGGGGATCAGATGGTGAGGGATTGGTTTCTTGAGGTTCTTTGTCATTTCTAGCTTCCACCTCATTTTGAATGTTATGATTGAGTTTGTTCTCCACATAGTCTTCACTTGAAATCAAAGGCATCACATGATTCTCCCCTTGAACCTTAATTTCCTCATGCATGGGAAGTTGAAGAAAGTAATGTTCATTTTCTTGAAAAATAACATCACGGGAGATAATAACAGTTTTTGAAAAATTATCATAGCATTTACATGCCTTTTGAGTGGGACTTTATCCAAGAAACATGCATTTCCTTGCCTTTGGACTTAATTTATGAGAATTTTGATTGTGAACATAACATGTACAACAAAAAATCTTCAAGTGTGATAGAGAACTTTTCTTTCCCTTCAACATTTCAACTGCCGTTTTTTCTTGCAAAAATTTATTTGGCCATCTATTTATGAGATAGCAAGCAGTTAGAACCGCATCACTCCAAAAACTTTTAGGGACATTGTTTTGGAACAAGAGAGACCTCCCAACTTCAAGTAAGTGTCTATTCTTGGGTTTGGGTATTCCATTTTGTTGAGGGGTACCAACACAAGAGGTTTGGTGAATAATTACATTCTCTTTGAAAAAAGTAGAAAAAGAATTGTTGACATATTCAGTTCCATTATCAGAATGTAAAATCTTAATTCTAACGCCATACTGAGTTTCAATCATCTTAAAAAATTCTCTGAAGGTAAGAAACACTTGATCCTTAGAATGAACTAAATAAACCCAAGTATGTCTAGAAAAATCATCAATAAAGTTCAAGAAATATCGATACCCGCGATATGAGGTAACATGAGCGGGACCCCACACATCAGAATGAATCAAACTAAAAATAGATGATGATTTTCTGTCTGAAGTTTTAAAAGGCAATCTGATTTGCTTAGCATAACGGCAAACATCGCAGTCTTTAGAATCCAAGTGTAAACTAGGAAATAATGAACCAAGAACTCTGTCTGATGGGTGGCCGAAACGCCGATGCCACATTTGACAATCAGTTACCTTCTCCTTTGAAGTCGCCAAAGCCTTGCAATTTGTATCCAAAATGTATAGACCTCGTTCCAACCGCCCTTCACCAATCTTCCTCCCCGTGGCCCGGTCCTGAAAAGTAACATTGGTCGGCGTAAAGATGACATCATAATTGTGAGTATGGGTAATTTTACTGATTGAAAGAAGATTTGATGAAAATTTCGATAAAAACAAAGCATCTGAGTTGGAAGAATTAGTGAAAAATTGTATTTTTCCACTTCCTTCCACAGCTACAGTGGAGCCATTGGCAATGGTGACAGGACCATTTTTAGGAGATTTATCAAAATTGGATAAAATTGTATCAGTACCAGCCATGTGATTGGTGGCACCGAGTCCATAATCCAAGAATTGAAAGACTGAGAGAGCAATGATGTATTACCTAGAACATTGATGGAATTTTGTGAATTCGAAGCAACATAAGCCTTACCAAAATTTTGAACAAGTTGTGCCAGCTTCTCAAGGGTTTGTTTGGCATTATTTTCAGCAATGTTGGAAGCATTCTTTTTTCCAAGAAATTGTTTTTTCTTTTCAGGGTGGAGTTTCCGACAATTATCTTTAGAGTGTCGTTCTTTTATGCATTCAGGACAGTAGGGACGATTTGAATTACTCCTTTACAATGAGTAATAGAAACCTTGGAACCAGAAACTTTTTCAGCACCCTCATTAGCTTCAGATTTTATGGCTGATCTACCAAGATTATCTTTTGGAGTTTCAATTATAACTTCTCTACGAGTTTCTTCTCTTGACACGATATTGCATACGGTGTTGAAATCAGACATGGTGGATGTGAGGAGAATTTGACTCTTAAGACTTTCATATTCAGAACCATGAGCAGACAGAAGAGCAAATGCCATCTCTTGATCTTTTCTTGTAGTAAGGGTTGCAAGATCAGTAGTAGTAGGCAAGTGGTATTCAAGTTGATCAAATAAACCATGTACAGTACTAATTAACTCTCCAATTGTTTGCTTACCCGTTTTTAAATTCATTATTTCTTGTCTAATTTGATATATTTTGGAGGCATTATTTATTCTACCATAAACATCTTTGGCTTTATTCTAAACTGCAGTAGCAGTAGGGAGAAACTAAAGTCTTGTGGCAATTTTTCTGTTCATAGAATTTAATAACCCAGATTTGATTAAGTCATTATTGGTTTGCCAGTCTTCATAGGATGGTTCATTTTTTCCAGGAGGTTTATTAGAGCCGGTCAAATACCTCAACTTGCCTTTTCAACTTATAAACAATTAGGCTGAGTTTGACCAAAAAAGATAATTTATCCCTTCTTTAAGACCTCAATAGTAATTATGAGGTTTGTATTTGAGTCATTTGGGTTTGAATTTTCAGCCATGATAAAAAAAATAAATATAGCCAAAATAAAATCACTGCCTTAGGAGAGGCGCACAAAAAATAAGGTTGAAAGAATACCCGTTGCTGATCTCTTTAAAATACCAAAACACTATTCAAATATGAAAAGTTTGCTCTACATACTTTTGATATAATATGGTCCCTATGGACCACCTCTTTCCTCTTTTTGCAAGAAAGTAAACCTCTTACTCCTTTTGATGTATACAGGAAGCTTTGCCTTTCCTGTGCACAGTAACTTTACTCTGAAAGAGAAACGGAAGAGAGAGAAAGGGAGATCAGAAAATTTTTGAAGGCCACGGTATACAGTTGGCATACCGTATAGAGTTGGCATACCATGTGAAAACCGTGTGCCTGGGTGTTTCTTTTATTTTGGGGATCTACTCATCAACTTATAAATTGTAAGGAGGCTATCAGAAAAAAGGGAAAAATAAAACTGTACTTTTCCTTGTGGATGTAGGCTGTGTATAACCGAACCACGTACGTACGTTGAGTTCTTTTCTTCTTCTTTTCTGTGAATGAATTGTTTAATATGGTATCAGAGCCAAGTTTCTGGGAACTTATTTGGTAGAGCAGTTGGTCTCATTCTTCTCAGCTTTTGGTAGAGCAGTTTGGTCTCATTCTTTTAAGGCATTTGCGGTTTTATGCTCTCTCTGATTTGCGATTTGGCCTCCAAAATTTTTTTGGTCTCCCTTTCTCTCTCTTCCGTTTCTCTTCCAGGATAAAGTTGCTCCGCACAAGAAAGGCAAAGCTTCCTGTATATATCAAAAGGAGAAAGAGGTTTACTTTGTTGCAAAAAGGGGAAAGAGGTGGTCCGTAGGGACCATATTATATCAAAAGTATATTGGAGCAAACTTTTCATATTTGAATGGTGTTTTGGTATTTTAAAAAGATCAGCAACGGATATTCTTTGAATCTTATTTTTTATTCGCCTCTCCTAAGGTCAGTGATTTTATTTTGCCTATATTTATTTTTTTCATCATGGCTGAAAATTCGAACCCAAATGACTCAAATCCAAACCTTAGAATTACTACTGACGTCTTGAAAGGAGGGATAAATTATCTGTTTTGGTCAAATTTAGCCCAATTGTGTATAAGTGGAAAAGGCAAGTTGGGGTATTTGACCTGCTCTAAGAAACCTCCTGAAAAAGATGAACCATCCTCTTAAAACTGGCAAACCAATAATGACTTAGTCAAATTCTGGTTATTAAATTCTATGGACAGAAAAATTGCCACAGGACTTTAGTTTCTTCCTATTGCTGCTGCAATTTTGAAGCCAAGGATGTTTATAGTGGAGTAAATAATGCCTCCAAAATATATCAAATCAGGCAAGAAATAATGAATTTAAAAAAGGGTGAGCAAACATTTGGAGAGTTAATTGGTATTGTACATGGTTTATTTGATCAACTTGAATACTATTTGCCTACTACTGCCGATCTTGCAACCTTTAATGCCAGAAAAGATCAAGAGATGACATTTGCTCTTCTGTCTGCTTTTGGTTCTGGATATGAAAGTCTTAGGAGTCAATTTCCCCTCACATCCATCATACCTGATTTCAACACCGTTTGCAATATTGTGTCAAGAGAAGAAACTCGTAGAGAAGTTATGATGAAAACTCCAAAAGATAATCTTGACAGATTAACCTTGAAATCTGAAGCTAATGAAGGTGCTGAAAAAGTTTCTGGTTCCAAGGTTATTATTACTCGCTGTAAAGGACGTAATTCAAATTGTCCCTACCGTCTTGAATGTAGAAAAGAAGGACATAATTGTTGGAAACTTCACCCTGAAAAGAAAAAACAATTTCTTGGAAAAAAGAATACTTCCAACATTGCTGAAAATAATGCCCAACAAACCCTTGAGAAGCAAGCACAACTTGTTCAAAATTTTGATTAAGGCTTCTGTTGCTTCAAATTCACAAGATTCCATCAACATTCTACGTAATACATCCTTGCTCTCTCAGTCCTTCGATTATTGGATTATCGACTCAGGTGCCACCGACCACATGGCTGGTACTGATACAATTTTATCCAATTTTGATAAATCTTTTAAAAATGATCCTGTCACCATTGCCAATGGCTCTACTGTAGCTGTGGAAGGAAGTGAAAAAATACAATTTTTCACTAATTCTTCCAACTTAGATGTTCTGTTTTTGCCGAAATTTTCATCAAATCTTCTTTAAGTCAGTAAAATTACTCATATTCACAATTGTGATGTCATCTTTAACTCGACCAATGTTAGTTTTCAGGACCGGGCACGGGGACTAAGATTGGTGAGAGATGGTTGGAACGAGGTCTATACATTTTGGATACAAAATGCAACGCTTTAGCGACTTCAAAGTAGAAGGTAATTGATTGTCAAATGTCGCATCGGCGTTTTGGCCACCCATCAGACAAAGTTCTTGGTTCATTATTTCCTAGTTTACACTTGGATTCTAAAGACTGCGATATTTGCCGTTATGCTAAGCAAATCAGATTGCCTTTAAAACTTCAGACAGAAAATCATCTATTTTTAGTTTGATTCATTCTGATGTGTGGGGTCCCGCTCATGTTACCTCATATCGCGGGCATCGATATTTCTTAAACTTTATTGATGATTTTTCTAGACATACTTGGGTTTATTTACTTCATTCTAAGGATCAAGTGTTTCTTACCTTCAGAGAATTTTTTAAGATGATTGAAACTCAGTATGGCGTTAGAATTAAGATTTTACATTCTGATAATGGAACTGAATATGTCAACAATTCTTTTTCTACTTTTTTCAAAGGGAATGTAATTATTCACCAAACCTCTTGTGTTGGTACCCCTCAACAAAATGGAATACCCGAACGCAAGAATAGACACTTACTTGAAGTTGGGAGGTCTCTCTTGTTCCAAAACAATGTCCCTAAAAGTTTTTGGTGATGCGGTTTTAATTGCTTGCTATCTCATAAATAGATGGCCAAATAAATTTTTGCAAGAAAAAACGCCAGTTGAAATGTTGAAGGGAAAGAAAAGTTCTCTATCACACTTGAAGATTTTTTGTTGTACTTGTTATGTTCACAATCAAAATTCTCATAAATTAAGTCCAAAGGCAAGGAAATGCATGTTTCTTGGATAAAGTCCCACTCAAAAGGCATGTAAATGCTATGATAATTTTTCAAAAACTGTTATTATCTCCCGTGATGTTATTTTTCAAGAAAATGAACATTACTTTCTTCAACTTCCCATGCATGAGGAAATTAAGGTTCAAGGGGAGAATCATGTGATGCCTTTGATTTCAAGTGAAGACTGTGGAGAACAAACTCATTCATAACATTCAAAATGAGGTGGAAGCTAGAAATGATGAAGAACCTCAAGAAACCAATCCCTCACCATTTGATCCCCAAGTGGGACCCAGTCATCCTCGAAGAAACGTTCAACTCCCAAGTAAGTATCGTGATTTTCACATTTTTATTGCTTCCACCAATTACTCAATTCAAAAGTTTGTTAACTTTTCCAATGTCTCTCAAGAATATAGTTCGTATCTTTGTTGTATATCTGCCATTCAAGAACCTGCCAGCTTCCAAGAGGCTTCTTCCTATCTTGTCTAGAAAAAGGTTATGGAAGAAGTGCTTTGGGCCCTCGACAAAAATAAAACGTGGGAACTAGTCGAATTACCCAAAGGGAAAAAGGTGGTTGGGAATAAATGGATTTATAAAATAAAATACAACAACAATGGAACTATAGAGAGTTACAAGGCATGACTTGATGCTAAAAGGGTTCACTGAAACCTACGGTGTAGATTATAAGTAGACATTTGCTCTTGTTGTTAAAATGAATACCGTCAGGGTTTTATTATCAATTGCCGCTAATTATGATTGGCCTCTATATCTACTTGATGTAAAAAATGCAAATCCTGCAAGGCGACCTTGAGGAGGAAGTTTATATGAAAATTCCCCATGAAAATTCCAATCTTGTGTGCAAGTTAAAAAAGGCTATTTATGGCCTTAAGCAATCCCCTAGGGCCTGGTACACAAAGTTAAGCTCTTACTTTGAAAAATATAATTTTAAAAGATGTAATGCAGATTTATCTATGGTTGTAAAAAAAGGGGAAAATGGAAGTGTTGTTGTTCTTGTTTATGTCGATGATATCATTGTCACTGGGGATGATGCCCAAGGTATTACTCATCTTAAGAATTACCTCCACTAGGTATTCGACCTAAAGGATTTGGGCAAATTAAGGTATTGTTTGGGAGTTGAAGTGGCTTATTAAAAAAAGGGTATTTTTCTCTCCCAAAGGATATATACTCTTTATCTTTTGTAAGAAACTGGCAAATTAGGAGTTAAACCTAGTGAGACTCCTATTGAAATGAATTCTAAGTTAACTATTGAAGACGGTCAACCTCTTAAAGATATTGGAAGGTATCAACGGTTGGTCGGAAAATTAATATATTTAACCATCACAAGACCGGATATAAATTATGCTGTAAGTATGGTGAACCAATTCATGCATGCTCCTCGTACTTCTCATATGGAAGCTGTCGAGAAGATCATAAGATACCTCAAGGGTTCTCTTGGTAATGTAATTTGGATGCATAAAAATCGTCAAGTTGATATTCTTGGGTATTGTGATGCTGATTGGGCTGGGAATCCATCAGATGGAAAATTGACTACTGGTTTCTACACATTTGTTGGTGGAAATATTGTTTCTTGGAAAAGCAAGAAACAAAATGTTGTGGCTCGTTCTAGTGCTGAAACAGAATATCGAGCTATGGCTTCCACTGCATGTGAACTTATATGGCGTAAAGCTCTCGTCCAAGAACTTGGTTTTATACATGGTTTTCCAGTCAAAATGTATTGTGACAATCAAGCTGCAATCCACATCGCTTCCAATCCAGTTTTTCACAAAAGAACCAAACATATCGAAGTTGACTGTCATTTCGTCAAGGAAAAAGTTCAAGCTAAAGTAATTCAAACTCCATATATCAATAATGAAAATCAATTTGCTGATACCTTTACCAAAGCTGTCGGAAAAAGGAGGCTTAAACAAATTCTTAGCAAATTGGGTGCTTTAAATCAATTTGCACTAACTTGAGGGGGATTGTTAACACAGTAAACGGTTGGCATACCGTGTAGAGCCGACATACCGTGTGAAAACCGTGTGCCTGGTTGTTTCATTTATTTTTGGGATCTTCTCATCGACTTATAAATTGTAAGGAGGCTATTAGAAAAAAGTGAAAAACAAAACCGTATTTTTTCTTTCCTCGTGGATGTAGGCTGTATATAGTCAAACCACGTATATGCTTTGAGTTCCTTTTTTTTTCTTTTTTGTGAATGAATTATTTAACAAACTGGCACATAAAGGCTTACAATTTTACACAAATATAACTTTTCGTAAGTGCGGGATGTAAATAAATATTCAAGGAAGCATTTCTATCATCATCATCATCATCTTTATCGCAACTATTTAGGCTACGAATCCTATTCCTCCATTAGCCTCTATCAAGGGTCATACCTCAGATGATAAGTCTCCATATCTATTCACACTACTTCCATTGTACACTGAACAATGTACAATGTTTCCTTTATTTTTGGGATCTTCTCATCAACTTTTAAATTGTAAGGAGGCTATAAGCAAAAAGTAAAAAATAAAACGGTTTAGAAAAAAGTAAAAAATAAAACAATTTAGAAAAAAGTTGGCATACCGTGTAGAGGTGGCATACCGTGTGAAAACCGTGTGCCTGGGTGTTTCCTTTATTTTTGGGATCTTCTCATCAACTTATAAATTGTAAGGAGGCTATCAGAAAAAAGTGAAAAATAAAACCGTATTTTTCCTTTGAAGGCTGTGTACAGCCGAACCACGTATATGCTCTGAGTTCCTTTTTTCTTCTTTTCTGTGGATGAATTATTTAACAAACTGGCACATAAAGGCTTACAATTTTACACAAATTTAAGTTTTCGTAAGTCCGGTATTTAAATAAATATTCAAGGAAGCATTTCTATCATCATCATCTTTATCCCAACTATTTAGGCTACGAATCCTATTCCTCCATTAGCCTCTATCAAGGGTCATACCTCAGATGATAAGTCTCCATATCTCTTCACACTACTTCCATTGTACATTGAACAATGTCTTCATTAGCTATGAAGCAACAATATGCAAGAGAAAAAGATGACTTATGTACAGGCCTCTGAAATCTCACTCTGTAAGACCTATAGTAACCGAAAGTTAAACTTTCCTTATAGTTCTCCTTGGTGTGTCCACTTGACCCCTCTCAATGTTTAGGTTACCTTTCTTTGTCTTTTTCTCAAGACAATACAATAATCTGAGATGAACAATGTCTATGCATACTCAAATTTGAGCAAAATTCACAATCCACTCCTTAGCCATTGCGTGAATTTTAGGTGTTGTGGATGTCATTGCTAGAGGGTAGTGGTGAACAGTAGTGGTCAACATAAGGTGATGTTTATTGGTGCAACTCCTTAAGGCTAGCCTAAGGTTCGTTGCTTCATATTCCTTCTGCTTCAATTTGTGTTTACATGATCGACACCATTACTCGAATTAGAGGTAGTGAGGCATTGCTACATGTTTTCCATCTACCTCTCATAAGAGCTTGAAGTATCTTATGTTCAAAAGGGGTTTCTGACTTTAGTGAGATTTTGTGGTGGTTTCTTGGAATTTGAAGGTCACCTAGAGGACCCTGATCTCTTTGGAATGTCAGCCTCAAGAGATGGGTATCGCTATTGAACTTTTGTGCTTTGAAAGGTGCGTATCTACTATTGCCACCCCAAAGGGAAAGTAAAATCACCCATGCCTGCAGTGCACATGTATCTGTTCTAAGCATCCTAAGCTAGCTGGTAGGGATATATGGTGATTTCAAGATGATTCATGGAGATTCAAGCTGATCCCAGATGACCTGACGCTTTGTGTAAACGTCAGCTTCAAAGGTCCGGTATTTCCAATTGTTACCAAGACGGGGTGGACAGACCAACCCCTGTATACAGAAAAACAAACCTTGTGGACCATTAATCACTTCTCTCTGCTTTACGAGGATCTATGTTTCTTCATTAGGAACTGTCATTGTGTAATATTCTCAGTTATTTAAGTAAAAACAAGTGTGCTTCCTGTGAAGAAACTTCATGAATTTAGAACTCGCACGTGACACCCTTTGTTTCTGAATGAAAACTTTGTATCCATTCTATCGAAAAGCTTGTAGTGTATTTATTCTTTTAGCAAGATTTGCCCTTTTTTTCGACTGAATCATTGTTTCTTACCAGTGTTCTAACAGTACACCTGCATTCCTACTTGTCAATTCATTGGAACTGAAGTTTCGAAAGTGGAATTAGGAGCAAACACCAAAATATACATTTGCAGATGCTATAGTAAATACACAGTCACAATGAACACATCTCTCTCCCCCCCACTCCGGGGTTTTTGTGTGTGTGGGGGCATGTGTGTATGCTGTTCATTTTTGTTTGTTGTGATGGTAATCATATGTGTGTTTGACCTTTACTATTGTCCATTTTTTGCAGTCTTTAGTGGTGTTCTTCAGACCCATTAAGTTTGCAATTGCGTTCAGCTTTGGCAACATATTGGCAATTGGAAGGTAAGCATATGCTTAATTGTATAGGAATGATTAGAAAAAAAACTCGTTAATAGTGATCTGTGGGAGGCTCATTCTGTAGCCAAATTTGCTAATATAATTTCATGATTTGGCATCTGACAGTTGTGTCCCATGCCTATTTAAATGGGCCCAATTTATATTGCAGAGTAGGGGCCCAAATCCCCACTGACTTACCACTTTTTGCCTGGGGCCTTGGCGGTATTATTGCCGAGCCCCATGTTGAGGACTTTTTCACCAAAGGGTAGGGACCCAAATCCCCATTGACTTACCACTTTTTTACTCACCAAAAAAAAAAAATGAGCACAATTTTCCATAGGCCTTTCTTTTCGTTTTTCTTGCTGAATCTAGTTGTAACTGTATACAAACTTTAAGTCAACTTGCATGTTTATTTTAAGGAAAAAGTTTATATAAGGTGTTAACCTTATACTGTACGGGTAAGGTGCACTTAAAAAACCCACTAGACAAGGTTGTTCTCTATGCTGGAAATCCTCAAATCGATCATCTTGACCTTCGAGATTCATAGACATGAAAAGGGGGATTTTTAGTCCTAAAAATAGTTCATCTTCTAACACATTATTTGAACCGTCAATTTTCAAGTGTTTATAGATCTGCTTGATTGTCACCATTTCTGGAATTTTAAATTTCATAATTGGGGGCAACAATAGACTTTCATATCATCACAAGGCTTTGCGGCACTGAAACTGCATCTTCAACATAGTTTTGAGGTGCACCTTACTTCAATAGTATAAGGTTGATACCTTATTCAAACCTCACCCTTGTTTCAATATTATTTGTTTTGTCAATTCTAATCAACTTGGGGGTTTGATAATTCATTTGCACTTTTATTAAATTTTAACCAATTCTAACTAGCATAGTTGTTGGATAAAAAATTTGAACTATTATACTTCTAACCAACTGTGGTGTTTGATAATGGATTTGAGCTATTACTCTGTGCCTAAATTTTTTATGTGTATCGTTTGAATGCCTTTTATTGGATCATTCTCTTCAAGTAAACTTTGAATAATCTCTATTTCACAGCACAGCCTTCCTTATTGGTCCAATACAGCAAGCAAGGATGATGCTTGATCCTGTTCGTGTTTATGCAACATGCATATACATTGGGAGTGTTATACTTGCTCTTGTTTGTGCACTTTGGGTAAGCTGTTATTGGCTGTCTATGGATTTTCTTTATTCTTTCCATATTTTTATTTATTATATTCATCAATTTGTCCTCATGAATTCCAAATTTACTATGATGCTATCATTATATATATGCACATACTTATAGCTCCATGATAAGCAGGTTCATAACAAGATCTTAACTTTGCTGGCAATCATTAGCGAAATTTGTGCTCTCATATGGTAAGTCTTGTCATTTTATTGGTGTATAGGGACACAGATTATTGAAAACTGTTCTTTCTTCTTCTTCTTCTTCTTTTTTCTTATTTTTTTCTCTTATATTTCATTCTGTTCCTTTTAATGGTTTAGAAGTTCCAGAAGTGACTGCATGACCTTACTTATACTTGAACAAGGTATTTTCATCAATTTTGTGCTTGTTAGATCAAGAAATATGCAAATCATCGTTTGAAAGATAATGTGATACTAAGGTATACCCTACATATCTACCATGTACCGAATTTTTGTTTCTAAGTGCAAATGAATGTTGGCAATTAATCTGTCTGCACATCTTCTGTGTGATGTAATGATGTTCTGACATCCTGCACCTTTCAAGTTGCTTCCCCTTGACTCTTGGCCCTTTGACATCAACTGCATTGTGGACAGAGAGTGTTTTGTTTTGGTTGATCCTTGGTTTCACCTTTACAGGTTAGTTTTGCATGCATATGAGATAAACTGTGTGGCATGCACATGCACATATTCTACGATATTCATCTATGCAAGTATTCTTGTGTCACCGTTTCGCATAGTGTGCTTAATTAAATTGATGGATTTTGTGTCCTATGCCTCCATCGAAGATTTTTTGTTTTTTCTTTTTTTCTTCTGTTTTTTTGACGTGTCCATGATTGGTGGGTAATATGGTACTTTTTTTTTCCGTTGTTGGGGGGGTATTTTGGTCACTATTATGAAGAGCAATTTGATAATTAGTGAACAAAACATAATTGAGTGATTGTCTCAGTTTGAATGATGAGTAAGAAAAACTATTTGGATGAAGTACATGTAATGCAGAATGGAAGCCTAAAATGCACAAGGAACACACAATTCTACGTCCTATTAAAAGAAAGGTTCCTTCTCAATACCGTCCTCTCATATTTTATTCCGTGTTGGTTGTTCTGGTTGCCACTTGATTAATGTCTAGATCCCCTCCCTTTTTTGAAGTCTTAGTTCTCCCCTCAGATATTTACAGGTTCCCATGGGAGTTTCTCTTTTACAGTGATCTGCACTAGAACAATTTGCTGAGCTCCTCTCTGCTATCAATGGTGTTAGAAACTACTATCCCTACAAGCCTAGGCCCTTCCACTTCTGCTATGAAGGAGTTACTTAACTCGGGTTTTTCCTGAAGAACATAGTTTTTTGATACCTCTATCATTGTTGATTCCAACCTGCAATGCCATAGGGACTTGGATTTCTTTCACTTACCCAATCAAAGTCGAATTCCTTGTAGATTATAGGAGATGGGATTCAAGTTTTTATTTTATTTTATTTTCTCTCTATGAGGCCTCTGATAAGGTTCCAATTAAGAGTGAAATCTTTTTTTTTTTTTGGGTGAATTAGTGACATCTTTCTACAAACATTGCAGTTGCATTCCTACCCTCAATGGCCCTCCACTGATAAATATTTCCTTCATTTAGCTTGCTCTTCCTAAGATCATCTTTCTTCATTTTCCTTTAGTTTCTGGTAATGCCATTGAATGTTCTAATCCTGGAGCAGGACATGCTTATTTTTAGGATGAGTTTCTAAATATTTTTTATTCCCTGTTTGTGTCAAAAGCATCATATTCGTACTTTGTCATTATAAAAAAAAAATCAAATTATCTATTATAAAAGAATGTTTTGAATTTGGTTGTAATTGAAGATTATCAAGTGGCTGATCTTAGGTTACATCAATCATGTAATAGATTGCACTCCTAAAATGCCACGGATCTACATTATTTCACTTCTATGAGGTGTCTCCAAGAAGAAACTTTTTTTTTTTTTGCGAAAAGTTTATATAGAGCCGAGGCGCTAAACAATCAAATTTGAGCCTACCTCAAAAATTTCACTAGAAGAGGTGCCCAAATATCTTTAAATTAATCATCTCGACATCAAGATGCATAGACATGACAAAAAAATTGATTTCAAGTTTTAGAATAGTGTATTTTGTAACGCATTTTTGGACCGCCAATTTTCAAGATTTTCAAGTTTTCATAGATCTGTCAGTCTACACTATTTTTTCACCTTTAAACTTTATAAATAAATATGAAAATATATTTTAAGGTTATCACAAAGGTTTCCACTATTGAAACCACATTTGAAGGTAGGCTCTAATTTAATTTTTTAGAGCCTAGGCTCTATCCAAACCACACCTTTGTTTTTTTTGACAAGTAGGAAGACACTTTCTTGGTATATAAAATGTGTCATCTATGGTTTTTGGCTCAGTTGTGTACTACATTTACTATTTTGTACTTTGTAAGTGTGGTAAGAAGTTTATTTTGACCTATTCAAAGTAGAATATGGGGTTAATCCCTCTGCAAGACTGGGACAAAGTTGAGCCAAAAGATTCTAATTTAAGTTAAACTCAGGAGGAAATGGTGTCTCTTTAGAATCCACTGTAGTGTCTAGAAATTGGTCGATGGGTAAAATACATTTACTTGGTGTCTTGCCCAGGAAAGGGGCACAACTCCTAGTAACTCCACTAATTGGTGCTTCAACAGGGCATCTGCATCTTTAACCAAGCCAATTTTGGAGCAGCTTTGTGATAATGGGACCAACCAACAAAAGGCATTAATACTGCAAAGATCAATGCACCAATTGCGGTAAAGTTGTAATTCTTTAGTTACTCTAGATTCTCGCCAAATCCAGAAAATATTAGATGTTATCATCTTCCTTTGTAACCTCCATTGACATCACCATTCATTTTTCTAGGCCAACTATTACCCTTGGATAGAATATCATAAAAAACTAATTTTTAGGGATTGGGTAAAAAAAGCCGAAATTAACTTTGAAGCAACAACAAAAAGAAGTTGTTGAGAGAGAAATTGCAGAAGCTTGGGATGCTATTGTACTTGCTCAAGCCATAAGAGGTTTATCCATTGTGAAAATATGCATTCTATCACCATTAATCATGATAGCCAAAAATCTTGTTTGTATGTCAAACCTCAATAGTGGGAGTAAAGAAGTTAAATCCACCTATTATTGTGTTCAATTATCAGAAAACAGTATTTATTTTTGAATTTATTACTGTTATTTGTTGGATCCATCAAATCACTTGTTACCAAAAGATATAAGAAACATGGTTCTAGCACCTTGCCAAATGTGTCCAATAAAGTGTTGTGGCGCAAACAATGTCCAAATGTGAACAAACCCTTGGACTGCTAAGAAAATCACCATGAGATTCAATTAAGAAATCTCGCCCAATTGGGCATGTCTAGCATATCTTTTCAGATTAGCAGGATTGCTATAGCTTCATTGAGTTCACTGCAATAGAACTCAACGGTTACACCTTCTTGTTCGACACTTTACTTTGAGTGGCTGTTTTATTGTCTCAAATGGCTCCTTCAAATTCTTGATGCAAATAGATGAATTCTTGTTCGAAGTCTGCGAGCTAAATATCCGTCTTCCACTCTGGTCATTGAATCTAATTTCACATTAACTTTGATGAATAACTAGTTTTTTCCTTTTTTTTGTTCAGCAATTCTTTCCCTTCTTCTAACTAATAAAAGTGGATTCTTCCCATGTATAAAAAAATATTTCAATGGCTATTGTTATTTCTTCTAGTCATTTCAACTCGAATTGTGGGTTCCTTCATATCTAAGAACTTCTTACACAGTGAGGCCCTTTCTATACATTGGAGCTCCCTTCACTAAATCGATGTTATTGATAATTCGTCCAATTCATACCCTTCAGCTCTAACCGTCAACTACTAATAATAGGTCTTTTTCACAACAAAATATATCCCTCATACAGTGGCATCATTTAATAGTAGGAAACTAACTATTATTAACGAGTTAACTAACTATAATTAATAATATCTTCTTTGGACCCAAAACAAGCAAGGGGTCGTTTACCACAAAGGGAGAATGTACCTAACAAAAAAGTGACTTTGTTACACTTATTTACTTAAAATACCCATAAGAACCATGTTTTGGCTTTTCTCTGGAGAGCATCTAACTATGGGTTTCACGTGCAAGTATTTTTAATTTGGTAATCTGTTACTTCATGGCAATATATGGAAATATGCAATGCGTCTATAAATGAACATGAGATATTTTGGACTCCAGACTCATTGTCTTCTAAAGTTTGCCTACAGTCTTTTGGCTTCATTAAGTCAATTATTGCATACTGGCTTATTAAACCAACACTGGTAGCTTTGGTCCAAGGAATGTACTTGTGATGGTGTTGGTTCAGCTGTGCCAGTCAACGCCCCATTTGTTCTAGTTCTGTTGCTTTGAAAATGCAGTAAATTTGGTCATCCATTTATCTTTCACTTGAAATTCAGAACATAGAATTGAATGGTGCTTGAGTCATGAAGTTACTTTTGGGCATTTATGGTGAGATTCGAACTCATTGATTGATTCATTGGCGAGAAAAGAGGTGGAGGGTGGGGGGGGGGGGTGGGGGGTTGGGGGGTGGGGGGGTTTGCGGGGTGCTCTAATCCAGATTGCTGTTGCTTCAAGCAATTGTGAGGGTTGGCGCTCTCCTTCTTCCCTCTTCCCTCTTCCAAATGTATAATTGTGACCTTTCTTCTTTCACCGAGTTTTGCCAGTAGATGTGAATCCTATGCATAAATACAAGTTGAGTTATAAAAAAAATGGTGCTGAAGTCGTGATGCTAACAACAATTTATAGTAATACAACGTTAACTTTCTCAGAGAAAAGAAAAAGAAAAAAAGTTATGTGATACTCAAGTCTCGAGTCTCGAGTCACCAAGTATACATACAGAGATTTGTGGGGTTTGTGCGTTTCTTTTTATGTTTTGAAACTTTGTAGTGATACTTTCAATTGGAGAAACATCATTTATATTTGAAGTAATTGTATCAACAGGTGGGGAGGCCATCAGATCATGATACCTAATCTTTCCCTTGTGATGAGTTTCAGTGTTTCACTCATAATGCTAGATGCAGGCTAATATCAATCTCTTATTAGGGCAGTGTTTCAAAACACAGGATCGGGATCTGAATCAGTCCCATGTCAGGGTGGTTTGGATTGCTTATTGTGAATCCCAATCGTCTGATTCTGTGTTATCCATCTTACATTGGTGAAAAAATTCAAAAATAAAATCAAATAAAGATTTAAATATGATTTAATAAATCAGAGTTTGATATACTGTCTATAATGTTTATCATAAACATCAAACAAAAAGGTTTTGTTAAACATATATGATAACCATTTCTGATTCAAAAATCTCTTTGTTTTGATAAACATCAATGATTTGTTAAACATAAAAAAAGGCAATGCAGTTAATTATTTTCTACCGAATATAAAATCACCATTTCTAATTTTAAAACCTCTTTTGATTTGATAAACACAAAAGCTAGCGATTCAATTGATCCAAAGAAAAAATCTCTACTTATTTAAAAAATCTCTTCCTTTAAAAAATTGTTCAGAAAATCGCTTCATTAGTTACTAAAATTTGAAATTGTTTAAAAACTCACTCATTAGTTGCTAAAATTTGAAATCACATAAAACATTCAAAATAATAACAAAAATTATGTAAAATGCTGAAATAACTGTTATAGATCGTTGCTAACATTGTCTGAAGAGAAATCTTTAGCGAAATCGAGAATGACAATTCATATCCTAGGCAATATGTCACAGATCTGTGCTCCATTTTTCAAAACAATCCTAATTTTGAGCACTCTATTTTGATGAAAAGGGTTTTGATCCAAGAAATAATAGAGCAGATCTTGTAGAGAGCTCATAGATAAAGATTTGGGGCCTAATTTTAGGAAAAATAGCCAAGAAATGAGGAAGAACTAATTAAAATGTTTAAAAGTTGAAAACTGTTGAACTCCATAGAACCCGACCTGTTCTTCGCGTAATTGCTCGGTTCTTCTGATAGAACCAGGCGATTTGATGTGAATCGAACCAAATCCCAGTTCTGTCAAGGAACCCGGCAAGTCCATGTCCTATGCCAATCGGCTGATTCCAATCTGGATAGGCGCTTTTTTAACCCCTGGTTTAGGTTATCACTACTTTTACAATATGAGAGCAGTATTAGCACACTATACTGGATACTTACTGTGGGATACAATTTAATGCTATGCTGCTGTGCTTATTTTGTATTTTTTGAACTCCAAAAGTCTTCCTTTTCCTTTGCCTTCTTCTAAAAAATATGAATAACATTCTATAAAGACTCTTTTGCTGTATTGTGTATTATGATAACAATTTAATGAAATTTAATATGCTGTTAAGAGTAAAGTATTACAATGATTCCTTACAGTAAAGATTAGGCAGGTATCTTGTATTTTATTTTATAAGTTGCAAGGAATAAAAACTAGCTTTTAGCTGATAAAACTGCCGATCATTAACATGGTGTCAGATCTTTCTGCTTATAATCTAGAACAGACTATGAATATCATTCTACATTCAATCATAAAAATCTCAAACTAAATTGGATTACGGTTCACCATTTTCCCATTTCTTTGTGATTACAACCGCCAAAGGTTTTCCTTTGCACGAATTTCTTTGTTCTTTTTTCTTTCTTTTGTTTTGGCCACTCTCTTTCTTATTCTTTCACTTCTTCCCCTTTCTTTTCCATGGATACCGTCATGGTGATAATAGAGAATTTGAAATGAGCAATTGGCATTCTACTAAAAAGAAAGAGTTTGACCATGAAGTGGCAAAATAGGGTATTCTCGGTGTACTCTGACTAAAAGGAAGTGCTCTGTGCTTCCCAAGCTTGCAACCATTATTTAAAAAGGCAATTTGGTCTAAACTAGGAAAGGAATAGCTTTATTGATTTTCATGAGTCATGATCTTAATGTTGAAAATTAAGATTTGTAATTTATGTTGTTAAACTGTCCATTAAACTTGATTGGAAGTGTGTTTTGCTATACCTTTGCGTCTTACCCTCTGGTGGAGAAAGCTCTTCGCTACAAGTAGATCGATATTATGTAGATGACATGTTTTCAGATACTAAACAGAACCAAGAAGATTTTTCACTCAAAATGTCTATATTTGAAAGGAAAAGATGTTATAGTACATGAAATACTGTAATGAATTGATGTATTAGGATTTTCTTGCGTATTCCAGGTACAGCCTGAGCTACATTCCTTTTGCTCGCAGAATGGTTTCTGATTTGATCATTAGCTGCTGCGACACCGAGTTCTAGATTTCACTTAGAGTTGACATCCATATTCTATGTGGGGGTGGAGCTGGACAGAACTCTCTCGCTCTCTCTGGGTTTGGAGTTGATCATTGGCTGCTGCAATACAGAGATCACGCTCAGATAGAAGATGCTCTCTCTCTCTGAGTGAATTTTCTTCATTTTTTTGATTGATCAATGCAGCATACAAAATGCTGCTTGATGCTACACTACCGTCTGATTCACTTTATTTGTATTCATGGGGAGAAGGTGTTGGACAAATTATGATGGCTTGGTTTGGAGTTTGATTTCTAATTGTCATCATTCTTCATTTTTTCGTAATGTCTTGAAGGTGATGATATTTTTATTTTATTTTGTGCTGTGTGCATGTACCGGCCATTTTTGGAATTTTTTCTCCCCCATGTATTTTTTATGGTAATAACATGAATGCACGAGATCTGTGATTTAGACCAACATGTGACAGATCACGGTTTTCGATCATTGTGATATGCATGTATATGCTAATGATTTCTTAATTTGCATTACAAGAGTGGTCACTTGGGACCACTTTTTTGTCAGGTAAAACTGCTCTGTCTCTATTGTTGCTATTAATTAATTTAGAGTGCAACTCATGTAGTGTAAGGTGGGCTAGAGAGCCTCTATTTGCAAAATAAAGTATCATAATTTTGGGGATACTTTTCCTCACAAGGCCAAAGGGGTGTTTTTCCAGTTAAGATGCTTTCCATTCCCAAAATAGGACTAACGATAATATCGTCGCTTAAGAACGCGAGTTTCTTTTATTCGGTGCAATCTCCATGGTGGTACACTTAAGGGTGTATACACCATTTACCTTGGGACACTTAAGGGTGTATACATCATTTACCTTGGGAGGTCACAATTACTTATAATCATCTGATCTGAAATCTGATAGCTTGGAATTGTTATGGAGTTCGAGAAAATTTCTTTTGAATTTTGAATTTGGTCAATGAAATAAATGCAGCCAGCAAATTTCACATTCAATGGTCAAGATTAATTGTGACTATTTTGTACCAAAGGTAAACTGTACACTAAGTTGCATAGTTTACTATGCAGATTTGGGTAACATATATAAGAAAAAGTTTATTCAAGATGTCAACTCAAAAATTCATTGGAAAAGGTTGTTCTGACACAAAACCCTCCAATTGATCATCTTGATATCAAGTGCATGGATATTTAAAAAAAAAAAAAAAATAGGGACTTCAACTTGTTAAAATAATACATTATGTAGATTATTTATTTTCAAGTTTTTCAAATGTTTATAGATCTATTTGATTTATATTATTTTTGAAAGTTTAAATTTCATAATTAGAGATAAGAATAGAT